TGTCATGGATGCTGACTATCCGCAGGCGTACCAGCGGCTGGGTCCGTTCGTCATCCAGCACGTCAAAGATTGTGGCTCGCGGCGTCTCCGACTCAGCCATCATGCCCATGATATCCTCGACTGGCGGCAGCATTCCCAGCGCGTTCACCGAACTGCAGTCGATTGTGCCGCGGATCCCGCTGACTGTCGTGAACTTACACTTCCTGCCCTCCGCCAGCACGTCTGAATCGGTGAATAGCACGTTGTCGTTCAAAAGTGCTCCTACGTCTGGCTCGTCTGGCCCGCGGAATGGCGCCTGCGGCAAGACTACCAGCCCGGTTGCGCTGTTGGCCACCATATCGCGCAGGTCCGCCATGCCTGCCGCCACCTGGAAGTGCTGCCACAGCCTCTTTCCCAGTGACTCTGGTGGCAAAGCAACCAGTGCATTCTTCTCGTCTGTGGCGGCATCTGTGTGCTCTGTCGGCGGTGCGCTCTGCGCCTGCCGTGGCTCCTGGCCCTTTGCTGCTATTCCCAGCCCGCTCACCTCACTGCCCGTATGCAGGGACACGCGCGACGCCTTGCGTGACCGCGAAAACCCTGTGCTTGGAAACGACTTGTCATGATGCTGGTTCATCTCGGTCGCCTTCATCTCCTTCATAATCTCGTGCCTTCCAAACTGAGGAGCATCGGATTGTTGCCGCCTGCGCGATGTCTCAGCCACGGGCTCAAGCTTGTTTAACGCTCCTACCATCTCCTGCGAACTGCTGTCGCCAGCTGAAAGCGGGTCGCTGCCGGTAGTGCCTGTTGCGTTGGTGCGGAACAGTGTGTGTCTAGAAAACATTAATGGCGTATTGTAATAAATGGTGCTTGCTAGGTTGAAGGAGGAGGTGAAAAGCATGGAGAGTGCGTGCGTGTCCCACCCCCAGTTAATGCGCTTGCATCAGTTGAGCGGTCAGACGCTCACTGATTTGATTTTGAAATAGTTTATTTACATCCCACGTGACACCTCATACCTCATACCTCACACCCCACACCTCACACCTGCATCGCAACAGCAAACGCCTGCGCTGTCTTGAACAGCGGGCCGCGCTCCGCTGGCGTCAGCCCTGCCAGCACCGTCAGCATCTGCAGTAAGATCGCCGCCATCTGGTGGTGGCTCCCCTGCACCCCATGTAGGTTCTCTGCATGCACCATTCCCGCGACCTCCTCGAGCCTCCCTAGCACGGGTACCACAATAATGTCTCTGAAATGCATAAGCACGGCGCGCCGCATGCTACCCGCCTTGCCGGGCCGGGCCTTGGATGCCAGCCGGAACTGCAACACCGGCAGAAATACGCCCTCAAAATACGGCAGAATATGTGCCGACAGCATCTCCCATACCGTCACTAGGCTGTCGCAGATCTGCGCGCTGTTAATGCGCTCCGCATTGGCAATTCCGTTCATTGACAGAATAGCCAGCGGCTGCTTGCTGCTGCCCTTGGTCAGCTTTAGTGCTTCAAACTTTGGCACCAGCTCGCATTGCTGGTACATGGTCCGGATCAGCGACGACATCCCGACCCGCAGGATGTTGTTTATCTCGTGCCATATCGAATCCTGGTCGCTTCGCAGACAGCTCCTACCAGAAAAATGTATTTTTAGCAAAAAGCCCCACACGCTTCACGTATGCAGATCTCACCTGGCGCTTTGACGCACACAAAACAAACAACCGCATGCTATGGCTCCGTCTCCCTTACCTGACAATTTCGTTGTTCTCCTCCACCGTGCCCTGTAGACGATCACCATTAAACAAGGGCAGAATCCGTGCCCCTAGCCTCCGCCACTTGTCCTCGGCCGTCAGGTCCAGCCGCGGCTGCCCAAAGTCCCGCACAATGTTCTTTGCATCCAATACTGTCAGTGAACTGGTCGCCGACATCGGTGTCGACGGCGCCGTTGACTTGTATGCGCTGGACTGCAGCCCGGGTGAAAACTGTGTCCGCGGTGTGAATGCCGACTGGGGTGTCGATGGACTACGCGGCAGAACTGTGCTCGGCGACAGTGGCGACTGCATGTACGGCGCCCAGGCGCGCATGCCAGGACGCAGGGTGTCGAAACTATCTCTCTCCATTTGCCTAGTTTGAATGCGAAATATAAATGTAAAAGGATGTTTGTACAAATAAAAATAGAAGAAAAAGGCTTGAATGCAAAAAATAAAAGTAGGAAGAGGTTGAGGGAATTGGAATGTGCAAGGGAGAGCTGAGGAGAGAAAGAAATTGCAACGGTCAAATTTTTTAGTTGTGCTCTTGTGCTCGAGACACGCCACACCACAGCGGTAGAAAGAGATCTGCAGCTACTGCCTCCACTGGCTAGGCAGATACGTGTCGCGAGGCTAGATGCTTGACGGCTACATGTCGCAAACCATGGAGCCTAGATGTCGCGCGTAGTGCCAGTGTGCCTGAGCTCCCCTCCCTTCAACGTACGCCCTTCTACAAAGACAAGCAATGATGAACACACATGAATTAGCTTGGATCCTCTGTGCATAATACTTGTTTTTGGGATGTGCATATAGATATCTTGCTGGGTTCCATGAAACCCTCTGCACATGTTCCTATCATGCTGAAGGCTACATCTTGTGCTTGTGTGCAGGGTAGCTGGCTCTAATCGTCAGATCTCAATATTTACCACTGTTAACCTCAAAGGCAGAATCAAGTGTTTACGAGCGCACATGTAGGAGATTGCTCAAGAAAAAAACAGCTGAGGAGAAAAAGAGAAGTAGCCCTTGGGGATCTGAATATATATGCCTGGCTTAGTCATGGTGGCATTGAACTGTGTTGTCGCTTCAGAGTCGGCAAATGAGGCTGTAGAAATGGAATTGAGAAAAGTATAGATGGATGTTTAGCACGAGACTGTGACAGGCTTGCCATCGTTGTCGAGGACCTGCACCGACTTGGTCCAGTTGTACTGCTTCTTGCTGAGAGCGTACTGGTACGACTTTACGCGGTACAGCGTCTCCTTCCATGCGCCCGAGGCGTTCTCCTTCTCCTTCGGGTGGAGCAGGTCGTTGGTGCGCACCTGCAGGAACTTTGTCAGCCAGGCGACCTCGTCGACGTTGTGGCCGTTGATCTTGAGCGTGCTACCCGAGCTGCCCTTGGCATCGGCCTTGAACGACGCGTTGGTGGTCTTGATCAGCCCAGCCAGTCCGTCGGCGTCCGATCCAGTGCCGTGCTGGATGCCGCAGTCGTACAGCTGTGCGCGGCTGATGCTCAGCTTGAGTCCGAGCTGGTCCGCAAGCTTCTGCGATGGGTTATAGTACATGCTGTCGCGGATCGCGTCCTGCGCATTGCGGAACTTTGCGTCGGACTTGCCCAGCTTCGACCACACCGAGCAGTATCCGTCGAGCCCGCTGGTCGAGTCGCTGCCGGACTGGGCATACTTCTTCAGCACACCGTCGTACTTGCTGAAGGAGTCCTTGCCGCCTGTCAGCTTGTGGTACTGCTGGACCACCTCCCATGCGTCGGCGGTGCCGGTGCAGAACCCAGAGATGCCAGAGGTGAACCCGCGCCCGTCCTTGATGTTCTCGCAGTAGTCGTAGTGGAAGTTGGTGTCGCCGTTCTCGTAAATGTTGGTGATCTTGAGCGCAAGCGTCTTGGCGCAGGCGCTGTTGCCCGAGGCGGTGTCGGCAGCCGGCGCGGCAGAGGCAGCGGCTGCGAGGAATCCGAGGGTAAAGGCAGTGATCTTCATTGCTGGATGCAGGTGGGGGTGAGAGGCTGGTGTGGAATTGCTGGCTGGTGTTGTTGGTAGTGAAAGTGTGATGTCTGCGAGGAACGCCTGTGCTTTTATATTCGCAGCAGCACATAGCTACCGGGTGGTGGCTACATTCAGGAGACCTGAGTGGGCTTGGCGAGCGCATGCTGAAAAGCCTAGACAGCAGGCTCCGACCGGGTCTCCAAAAATACGCATTCGTAAATGGAAACGAGATGAGATGCCAAGAAGCCTCTGTGGGTGAAAGCGATGTCCACAAAGGAGAAGCTGGGCGATCGAAGGATTCGGTTGATTGCCGTTCGTCTGCAGGCCAAAAATAAACGGTGGGTTCAGCACGTCTGGGCCCTGCTTCCGGTCCTTGGCGCCGGGATAGCCAGCACTCAGACGCGGCAGGCTTCTGGACGAGTCTCGCTTTGCACCTGTTTTTTGTTGAACCAGCCATCGCTGGGGGGTACATCAATGCGAGCAGTTTGCATGTCGGCAAGCGTGGGAGCTTGTGGGCTGTCGGCAGAGAACAGGCAGGCCAAAGGAATCGGGTCATAGGCATCCCACTCCAAACCACCTCCAGTGCCCGGGTCTAAGAGGACCGACTCGATGCTGCCGATGGCCCAGTACAGGAGCTGGTGGCTAAGCACTGTAAGCAGACGGGTCTGGTGAGGAATATCGCTTTGTGCTGCTTGTGCCTCGTTACGAGAGTGAGCAGTGGCAGTTTAGTAATGCGATGTCCGTTACTAACGCGGTTGTCCTGGAGCGCCAGCCAGTCACGCTGGTTCAGGATGCGTGACTAAAGCCCCAGCCGAATGACAAATCGGCCACCAAATCCTTAATAATCACCACACTGGCCCGATCTGCATAAAAAGCGCTGATTTTGGCACTGCCGGTTCTTGGTCTCCCAGCTTTTCAGCCACTCCCAGATCTTCTACACATCCCTTGTATTTCTACAGCAACAACACCAACAACACCAACAACACCACCAACAGCACAAATGTCCACCACTACAAAAATCACTAAGCAGGTCTCGCGAATCATCACTGCACACCGCCAGCGCGAAGGCGGCGGCTTTATCGTGCGCCGCCCAGTACCATCCGGCAGCCTGGACATGGTTGACCCGTTCCTGATGCTCGACCATCTCGGCCCGACAAAGTATGGACCCGGCGAGGCTGTCGGTGCCCCCGATCACCCACACCGTGGCCAGGAGACCATTTCGTACGTGCTGGAGGGCGAGATTGAGCACCGTGACAGCCACGGCAACCACGGAGTTCTCAAGCCCGGGTGGGTTCAGTGGATGAGCGCAGCATCCGGCATCATCCACAGCGAGATGCCGACCGAGAAGATGCTCAAGGAAGGCGGTGTTATGCACTCCTTCCAGATCTGGGTCAATCTGCCTGCCAAGTACAAGATGACGGCGCCTCGCTACCAGGACGTTCCGCCCGAGAACATCCCCACGTTCACCTCCAGCGACGAAAAGACACGGATCAAGGTCATTGCAGGCAAGGTTGAAGATGTCACTGCCAACATTGACACGCGCACGCAGATATTCTTCCTGGACCTGCGCACCACTGGGCGGTACGCGCTGGATCTCCCGAGCGGGCATGGGACGCAATGGTGTACAACTTCCACACGGAGCCGATCCTGGTTGGCAACGAGAAGGCAGAGGTGAAGGAAGGCCAGATGGCTGTCATCAAAACCGATGGGCAGCCGATTGACTTTGAGGCTGCTGGGTCGGAGGAGGCGCGCGTTCTGGTCCTGGCCGGTACACCGATCGGCGAGAAGGTTGCCCGCTACGGCCCATTCGTCATGAACACTCAGGAGGAGCTGGGACAGGCATTTACTGATATGAGAACTGGGCGCTTTGGATCCATTCCCGGTCGCATGGAGCGCATGCATCAGACTGACTCAGCCAATGCAGCCCGTGCAAAGGCTGGCAAAGAGTAGTTATCAGACCGGGGCTTTTGGCTAGTTGCAACTTTTGCTCTCCATTTTAGCTGGTTTTCTTGCACAAATTGCCTCTTACATTTCTATATTTCCTCATTTTAGAAAATGAATGACTAGTGTCGATTTAGGCACCAGCCTTGCGCACTAGGTTTCCTATGGCCATAGCGGCATTGATTTCGTCCTTGTTAGCGCCATAGACGGCAGATCTTGATGTGGATGTTGGTGTAGTCCTCGATCTGGAGGGGGATAACTACCGCAAGAATGCACAGCTCTGACTCCTTCAGGGGCATAATACCTTCGCTGCAGATAAATCGGCCATACGCATCGAAGAAAAACACCGGCAGCAGCTCTGGGCACATATCGGTGTTGTCCTTCAGAATGGCGTCAGTATGATCCTCAAACACACGCCTAGCAAAATCCTTGGCCACGCTTAGAGACAAGCTTGTAATCCTGCTCTTCCTCAGTCCGGTAGACATCCTTGCTTAGCTTTGCCTTGACATCCTCGCTGACCGCCTGCATCAAGATGATCATTGCATAATGTGCTCTGGCAGAACCAACCATTGCGATTGTCTTAATGATTGCGCGGCGAGAGAGCTCACGAACGAAACAAGTCATCTGGTTAAGAGTAGCTTCACAGTGCTTAACGAGGCTGGCGATTCCGACGTGGTCCATGACCGAACCAAATGTGCTGGCCTATGGATGTAGGTATACTTCTTAGCACGATATTACGAGAAATTGGGCCTTTAGGGCTGATAGCTATATGCCTTACCATCATGGCATATCTCAGCGTCGGCTCCAGGGCCAGCAGCGATATCGTCGAGCTGGGAAAAGTCGATAGTGTTGTTTGGCAACCATTTTTACTGAGAATATGGAAAAGTCCGTTCCAAGGATGGAGATAGGCACCACCGGCTCCTCTCCCTCTCGCTTTATATCCACCATTGTAATCACCCTGGCTGCAAGAGTGCCAACCTTGGCACCCGTGCCACTAGCTTGCCAACAAAAGAGGCAAGTCAGTGGATATATCCAGCCACACATCCTCCGGATTGCCATCGAGTTGGGAGTAGCAGAAAACTTCCCATGCTACATATCCAGCAGGTATAGTGCAACCGTCGACATAATCCTGTGGCGCAAGCGTTATGTTGCCCTTAAAGGCAGAACACAAAATGTGGTCACCTCAGAGGAATAGCAAAGATATATGCAACAACATGCGGAGCAACAAACCTCAGCTTGCGCTTTATTCAAATAGCGGTGGTTTACCCTAGTACTGGATGCAGAGAATCAGTTGCTATTGCATTGATCTGAACCAAATATACTTACAGCTTTTAGTCTATGGATATACGATATATAGCTAGGAGAGATGATGGCAAACGATGAGTACATGGTGTTGGATCCTAGATTTCTTGGGATTTTGCCAGTTTGACTTCAAGTTGGCTTTTGTTGTTGACGTCGGTGGTTCCAGACGGTTTTTGGGAATTCCTCGCTGCCAATCCAAGGCAACTGTAGCTATTTTCAACACAACATTGACAAGCTAACTCGTGGTTTATGTACAATTCTCCAAGAGTGCCATCCATTCGATCATATGTCGATAATAGGGATGTCAATTTATCGTGCTGCATGCTGGGTTGATATTCGTTAGTTGTTTGGAGTCTCTGAAGGTGCAAGGAGATACAGTATCTGCTGAGGGTAGCCAGAAACTAAAAAAAAAATATGGTTGAGAATAGAAAGTTAATCCAAGAAACGATAGCAGTGAGCCGAGAAGAAAGAAGATAATGAAAGGAGATTTAGAACATAAAATGGTCTAAACACCGAGAGCAAGACCTCCGATAGCTAAGGCGGCTTCACACTCATCTCTGCTTGCACCGTAAACAACGGCACCGTTGTAATGCGACTTTAGGTACTCATCGGCCCCCAGTGTCTTAACCGTGGCAATCATACACAGTTGTGATTCCTTTATCGGCATGAGGTTTTCGCTGGAGAGGCATCGGCCGTAGGTATCGAATCCCAGTACCTCTTCCAACTCGGGGCACGCAGCTATCGTCTCTTGGTATC